GTCTTATAGGTGGCCATCTTGTTAACTGCAGTCTTATAGGTGGCCATCTTGTTAACTGCAGTCTTATAGGTGGTCATCTTGTTATCTGCAGGCATATAGGTGGCCATCTTGTTAACTGCAGGCATATAGGTGGCCATCTTGCTATCTGCAGTCTTATAGGTGGCCATCTTGTTATCTGCAGTCTTATAGGTGGCCATCTTGTTATCTGCAGTCTTATAGGTGGCCATCTTGTTATCTGCAGTCTTATAGGTGGCCGTCTTGTTATCTGCAGTCTTATAGGTGGCCATCTTGTTATCTGCAGTCTTATAGGTGGCCATCTTGTTAACTGCAGTCTTATAGGTGGCCATCTTGTTAACTGCAGTCTTATAGGTGGCCATCTTGTTATCTGCAGTCTTATAGGTGGCCATTTTGTTTTGCTCAATTTCTGTACAAATGGTTTTTTTAAGTTATGCAAATGAACCTGTTAAATAAAAGTTCATGTTTGCACATTGTAACTTTCACATTAAAAACAATAAATATTAAGATTTTTATTTGCTTATTATTATTATTTTGTTATACTCGTTTTTTTCTTGACTTTGGTGGTGGTATTTTCTTTGCTATGGACTTTGCAGGGTGCTTTTGATGGGAAAAGTGAGAATTATCTTCCTCTTAGTGGACCTCCGGTATGTATGCACAACACGGTTCTATGGCTTGCTTCTCAGCATGTGCTTCTATTTATCCTTCTTCCTTTCCTATTAACCATATATTAACCATATACTGTGGAATACTTTATTTTCGCTGGAATTAATTTTCGCTGAAAAGGCTTTTTGGGCGTTTTGTATGGAATTTATTTTCACTGATTTTTGATGAGTTTAATGTGAAATATAGGAAAAAAAGTATATTCGCTGGATTTTATTTTCACGGAATCATCCCTATAGCGAAAATAAATTCTAAGGGAAAATAAAGTATTCTACAGTACTTATTTTTGTGTAATGATATGATAATATTGTATTACTGTTATATAATAATTTGTTTGTAGGTTTTCAAAGAAATGTTTGTTGTTCCTATGCAATGAAATAAACAATAATGATATATAATGTAATTAGCTTGCTTTTGTTTTAAATTAATTGATGTTCACTGTTAATGAATAACTTACAAGTTGACTCATTCATGGCACTGCATTTGCTGACTGTGTCCCATGATCCTTTGCATGTTCCATTTACCAGTACATTGTAGTAAGAATTACCCATGATGCATTGCCTGAATATTGATTGCATGAAGGAAATCGGGTACAATAGAAATTGTTTTATTCTCACTATTTGTTTTTATAAGTTTTGTCTGTTTCTATTGTGTAAAATAGCATGAATTTACTTTTTGCTAAATAAAGAAACTTTATATTTAAATTTAAAAAAAAAATTGTTTTATTAATTCATTCAAAATTCATATTTCTTCTATTTAATTATCGTTTATGTGTCTAGTTATTACACAATACATCTAGATTTAAGCTGTAGTGTGGAAATGTTTGATACTTGCTTCAGAGATTTTTTGAATTATTTCAGCGTTTTCTACTATTTTTAGTATAAAACAATGGTGCAGTAATACCGGTAATACCAATAAAGCCACCTTTAGTAAAATCAAGTACCGTAAAATCTGTATTAGAAGCCGCATCCCTAATAGAAGTCGCACCCATTTTTTTTGAATAATTGAGAACCAAAAATTCATCATTTCTCATATGTGTAGATGCTCTATTAGAAGCCGCATCCCCTCTGTTGCATTGTACCACTTTAATAGAAGCCGCGGTTTCTAATACAGATTTTACAGTATTTGTTAAATATTCGTATGTTTCTTGAAATATTCATAGATATTATATTTTTAATATTCATTCACAGTGTTACACACTTTTTAACTTCTGTGAAACAACACATCTTGAAATTGTTACATGATATAATTAATTAATTAATTACTATGGTAACAAATATGTAATATATTCTCTCATTCATTTTTTTACAGGGTCCACCAGGTCCAAAGGTAATAACATAACACTCATTCTTACATTTCATTACCAATGTTGAATTTTATATCCAGCTTTTTCAGCAAAAATATTCTTTGTGCAAACACATGTCATTTATAGATGAGAAAGATCTTAAAATATTCAGAAATATATCAAAGTAACAGAAATGTCATTAAAAGCGACGTAGTGAGATTGATTTGTTTTGGAAGAGGTCATTGAATCATCAAACATGTCAACGTTGCAATCCTGGAGTGAATTAAAAATAAAAAGTAAATGCTGGAAATTTCAGGCATTTGTCCTAGTTTGTCTTCAAGCCATAAAATGACCAGCAGTCCAAACAGTACTGTTTGAAGAAATCTACGCAGAAAGATATCGTTATATTTCTGTTCTCAGATTCTTACATGTACCTGTGTTGGTTACACCGCAAGAAACTATCGTACATGAATGTTTTGTGATTTTAAATTATTCTGGCAAAGTGAAAGTAATCACTGTGATAATCGAGTGAAAACTACAATATCTTTACAAATATGTATTGCATGTTTGTGAACTCGGGCATGTTTGTATATATTTTATATGTCTGTTGACAGGGTGAAATGGGTTTGCCAGGTGCGTTTGGGAAAGATGGTGAAAAGGGAGAGACTGGAAGGAGAGGAAAGAGAGGCAAAAAGGTGAGTGATATGACGCTAAAGCATTCCCATTTTTAACAATAGTACCACTTTTAACACTCCATCATTTCACTATTTTTGAAACAAAAAATTTGCATGTGGTGAATATACAATCCCACGGTATTTACTCTTATCGAATATAAAAAGTCATGATTACCGCCAGAGAAGGGCAAGTCCTTGGCAGTAATTATTCGTGTCTACTGATGTCAAACTAAGAGAAAATATTGTGGGATTATATAGATATTCGGTAATTATATGCAAAATAATTATTAATAAAATCAGTCTGATCATCAAAGAAGGACTATGATTTAAATTTTGTTATCACTCAAGGCAATGTTTTAAATTTGACTTTAGGATTCAGTCGGATGAAACTTCTGCTGAACTGTACAAAAACCCATAGCTCTTGTAATGTTTTCAGGAATCGATGTGATGTTTTCTATAGATTATAAAAAGTGGAAATGCAACTTTTAAACAGTGAACTGAAGCATGTTGAGTTTTTTGACTGGTATTGGTTAACCATTCGTTTTAATTCAAGATAATGGAAACACTTTTGAGACCTGTATCACATCAACTCATAAGCGCACAAAAAGTGATAATTGAACTTTAGGAATCTACCACTGCTATTTTTTGTTTTTTTTTGCACCTCATTTTTGTTTTGCAATTTCATAAAATTTTTATAGGGTGATCGGGGTGAGCCAGGACCTCGGGGTTTACCGGGAGGGAAAGGAGCGACAGGATCACAATTGAAAGGATCTAAAGGAGAATTTGGACTTCCCGGAATTCAGGTAATTCAAAAATGATAACAAATGCTTATATTCATGTGCGAAAATCTTTGTTTTTTTATTGCTGATGATGTAATATTTGTTTGTTTTTTTGTGGGTGTAATTGTTATTTTATGTGTTAATTTCAGGACCATATATAGGAGTACATTGTAGCAAAAAGGTCTTGCTAAAAAAAGAGTTTCTAGTAAAATTTTTGAAAAATGGGGTAGTGAGGCGATTTACATTTTTTTTTTTTTGCTAAAATATTTGACAGGGCACATTTTGCAAATTCCATCAATTCGTCAACAGAGGGCGCTATACACTGGATAAATAAAAAAGGACTAGACGCAGACCAGCAACATAACTTCTCTTAGGCCTTAATGTGGCCATATACATGCACTTGGCCTATCTATCGGGTACATTATTAATTTGACAATGTGCCAAAAGTTTGAAAAATATTATGTTTGGGGGGGGTACAGTTGTGACAGTTGTATTTCTAATAAACACAGGCATTTTTATGTTTTTCAAGGAAGCTCGTTCCTGTGAGATGAAGGAGATGTCCGGTGCTTCGTGTACATGACAATAAAAGAACACCATATAGTTCATGTTTAATGTCAACAATTGTTTGTTTTTTACTATGTTTAAAAAACAACCTGGTCTTCTTTGCGCTGGTTGCCAAGGTCAAGGTTTTGTATCATTAGTTTGACCTACAAAAGTTAAAACTTCTGAAATTCTGACTATGACCATGGGTGAAGTTCTAATATCCTGATATTCTGAGCATACATGGTTTTGACCTCTAAATATGATTTGTTTTTTAACATGATTTTCAAAAAAATCAAACAATCTTGTACTCCAGCTTTGACTCGAATATGCTTTTATTCTGATAATGACCTTCAATTACTCTTGAACTTGACAAAGGTCAAACATTATGGGATTCTGTGAGAACAAGCTTGAGCATGACCTCAAAAAATGTCATCATTCTTGATGTTTTATCCATGCATTTTCAATATTGAGCTTTGCTGATTTCTTGCCAAAAAACTAACACTCTGGTGATGGTGGATTTTTTTAGGGTGATAAGGGTTACGCTGGTGATAAAGGAGTTCCAGGTGATCCAGGTTTCCCTGGTGCTCCAGGTGCACCGGGTGAAATGGGATTGCCGGTATGTAATCTATTTCTTTTGTTCTGCATCTTATATATTTCATACTTTCTACAGCCATGGTGCATAGATTTTTGTTTCTACTTCACGCTCATAGTTATCACCTACACATGCATAGGAATTGAATTTTAAGTGAGGATACCAATGCACACTAAAAATGCAAAGACTCATGGGTAAACGCTTGTTTGTAAATAATGATGTGCTGTGGTTGTGGTGATGACTTCCCTCGCTTAAAATTTTGGTGAAAGAATTGTATCATCTTTTCTATTTGCTAAAAGATTTCTTTGTGCTTCATTTCTAACAATCTTGACCAGTGAATTTCTATCACAGGATCACTGCATTTACGCTCACGCTCACAAAGTTATCGTATTTATGTCGCAATAATTACATCTAAAATAATTTGTTCAGAAAACTTTCAGTGGCATTTAGGTCAGACTTTTTTTATTCCTTGTTTCTCAAGTTTTTATAAGGCAATTTTTTTGAGGAGGGCGAAAAAAAATAAAGTTAATTCTTTTTTTCCATTAGATTTGTGTGATACTCAACGAATTGAAATAAATTTGTATTCCATGTATAACCTTGTTTCTTATCTGCGTGAGACTTCGGTACTTTGATCATGATACTCCCACAAAAATGCAACTTGGGTTTGTTATGCGGCGGGCGGAAAAAAAATGAAGATAACATTTTTTTTTAGCAATTTTTGGCACTTACAAGTCAGCGGGTGCGAGAAATTACGCTGAAATAAAATTTGATTTTTATTTCATTTTTGGTTCCTGTTCATTCGGCGGGTTCGCAAAACAAGGAATAATAAAAGCCTGGCCTTACTGAAAAAGTTCACTGTTCTCTGTACTGTCTTCAAGAATATATAAATGAAAAACGACTTACAAAATGATGTTTACTTCTTTTTCCTGGTAATAGTACTGTTTATCTGTGTGTAATAATTCACACAAACTCTCTGATGAACAAAAAATAGTTTTTTTTTTGAAAAATTTGTGAAAATCAATGAATTTACATGATTTCATCAAATTAAAAAACTCAAATTAACTAAAAAGATTGAGAAGAATCAACAAACTCAAAATGTTGTTGCTTAGCAACAAATACCGTAATCCTATTTTCTGGGCATATAATGTAACTAACATTTCTTTTCATATAATATATTTTTTTCCAGGGTCCAATGGGTCCTCAGGTAGTTATAATGACATTTTACAGTTTGATGTTTTTACTGCATATTCATTTCACAGCCAGTGTTAATTCTTGCCACTTGTCATAAAATAGTCATAACAACTTCATTTTTTCTGAATTTAGTTGTTTCAAAATTGCATTTGCCCAATTCTATGAGCAGTTTTGTTTTAAAATATTATTAAATTTAGAGAAAATTACTAAAAAGTAATAACATTTCTGCTCTTGTTTTTTGGCAAGAAATAGATCTGGCTGTGGAACTGTTGATACATTTCTCTCTCATTTTAGTGATATGCATGTTAATTTTCACCATTGTCAATTTCTTGTTCATTTAGTGTTTTGTGCATGCATGAATGCTGTTAAAATAATCAAATAATAATTAATACATTTTCTTCTCATCATCAGCTTTGTAATTGTACGTATTGTGTTCATTCTTACACTAGAGTGTAAAGTTATTTGCTGCTTGCATTAAAACAGAAACTCTCAATATTGTTAAATTTAAGATGAATACCATAATTTTTTTTTTATTGAGAGCATTGTGTACATTTTGCATGCATTTACATTGAAGCTACCTAACTTATCAGTTGACTTAAAAATAAGAATTATTTTTTTATAGAAATTGTTGATGTAAACTATGAAGTCAAAATAACATTGTAACATTATGTGCATGTAATCATACGCATGAATGTTACCATTTCATTTAGGTTTGAAACTACATCATGCATGGTTTGGAAGCATGTGTTTTTCAACCCTTCCTGGGAGCAAACTGAAGGGAGCACTCATAGTTCAAACTTTGTTTTTCTTTTGTTTTGTTTTTTATGACAGGGCATGAAAGGCAGTCCAGTAAGTAAACTTATTACTCTTTTACAGCGAGTTCTTTTCATGATCGAGTTTTGTTATCTGGTGATTTCAATGTACATGATTTCATCGAATGAATAAATTCAAAGTAACTAACGAAGAGAATCTACAAACTTAAAAATGTGGTTGCTTAGCAACAAATACTTCTATTTTTCGGGGCCTATAATGTAACTAACATATTTTTTTTCCATATAATTTATTTTTTTCCAGGGTCCAATGGGTCCTCAGGTAGTTATAATGACATTTTACAGTTTGGTCTTTTTATTGCATATTCATTTCACAGCCAGTGTTAATTCTTGCCACAAAGTAATTTGTTTCAAAAATAAATTAATGTTTTTCTGAATTTTGAACAAAATTGTGTTTACTCAAATCTATGATCTTTTATATAGTCTGTTCTTTTAATTCAAAATATTATTAAAAATAGAAAAAATTACTGAAAATTAATAAAATCTTCGCTCTCGTATTTTGGCATGAAATAAACCTGGCTGTAGAAATGTTAATTCATTTTTCCTCTTCCTTAATGATATGCAAGTTATTTGTCAGTTTCTTGTTCATTTAGCTATCTGTTTTATAGTGCATGCTGTTAAAATAATCAAATCATAATTAATTCGTTTTCTTCTCATCAGCTTTGTAATTGTACGTATTGTGTTCATTCTTACACTAGAGTATTCACTTATTAATTGCTTGCATTCCAAAATATTTGAAACAATGTCAAAATTACAATGAATACAAAAAATGCTGTTTTGCATAGATTGATCAACATATTTTATAATCTTTTCTGGTCAGATTACTTTATTTTTATCTCACAATTAATCAAAAGGTAACTTTCAAAAATATCAGAAAAATGTTTTATAAAGAAAACATGAACAGATCCTCACTAAGACCAATAAAAATCAGCCTTGAAATATTTTATTTTTATTTTGTTACTGAAATTAATCATAGCACCATCTCATCTTATTTCATATCAAAAGTTCAACATTATATTAATATACCAATAATACATCAATGGAATTATAGTGAATTAATTTCATCTCATTTCCATGTGTAAGAAGAAAAAAAATTCAAATTACCTAAAATTGTTTCAATGCTGTACATTGCTAACTTGTAAATATGCAAAAAGTGTAAAAAAAAATATGGGCACCCAAATCATGTTTCCATGGAAACAATGACTTTGTGGTTCCCCTGTAGCTTTATTAAATCCTACTCAGATGAGCTTCTTGAATTGAAAATTAGTCAGAACATATACATTTAAGATTTATAATTCAAAACTAGCTTGAGTACACAAATATTTTCAAATGGTCTGTTACCATAGCAATATTTCATTAAATTGCTCTGTCGAGATTGTGTTAGATGTGACCACCCTTAAAACAAAAAAAAACAGTAGTGTTGATATTGATGTGCATGTAGTCTTAAGCATGAATGTTACCATTACTTAGGTTTGAAACTACATCATGCATGGTTTGGAAGCATGCGTTTCAATTGCATGGAGCAAACTGAAGGAAGCACTCATAGTTCAAACTTTGTTTTTCTTTTGTTTTTTAATGACAGGGTGTGAAAGGCAGTCCAGTAAGTAAACCATATACTCTGTTACAGTGAGTTCCTCTTGTGTCCTGTGACTGAATGTGAACAACATTACAAAATATTTACAGCTTTGTATATATATATATATATATACATATATGGACCCCATACAAAAAAAGCTTTTACCCCAGAACTACAACATTTTTATTCTTTGCAAAAAGGAATGCTAATTCAATAAATCATAATAATTCAGGTTTAGGGGCATTTACTAATTAAAAATGATTCTCTGGCACTCTCCCTATGCAATATAAAATTGTATTTTTAAAAAGTTTCTAAAATATCATAACCTTGTGAAGTTTTCCAGATCAGTTGTCTGGATAATGTGAATGTTTAAATGATTCCATAAATTAGAGTAATTAACTAGAAAAATCAACTAACTCGATATGTGGTTGCTTAGCAACAAATACTACTGATATAATGTGTAACTAACATTTCTTTCCATATAATTTATTTTTTTCCAGGGTCCAATGGGTCCTCAGGTAGTTATAATGACATTTTACAGTTTGGTGTCTTTATTGCATATTCATTTCACAGCTAGTGTTAATTCTTGCCACTTATAAAATAAACTTCTTCAAAAATAAATTTATTTTTTTTTCTAAATTTTGTTGATCAAAATTACATTTACTCAAATCTATGAGCAGTTATTATATTCTGTTCATTTAGTTTAAAATATTAATGAATTTAGAGAAAATTACTGAAAAATATAATATTTTGGCAGGAAATAGATCTGGCTGTGGAACTGTTGATACATTTCTCTCTCATTTTAGTGATATGCCTGTTAATTTTCACCATTGTCAATTTCTTGTTCATTTAGCTATCTGTTTTGTGCATGCGTGAATGCTGTTAAAATAATCAAATCATGATTTGTATGTTATCTTCTCATTATCATCTTTGTAATTGTACTTATTGTGTTAATTCTTACACTAGGAAAACGTTATTTGCTGCTTGCAATAACAATTCATTCTAAATATTGTTAAAATATATGCATGAATGTTACTATTACTTAGGTTTGAAACTACATCATGCATGGTTTGGAAGCATGTGTTTGAACCTATCCTGGGAGCAAACTGAAGGGAGCACTCGTAGTTCAAACTTTGTTTTTCTTTTGTTTTTAATGACAGGGTATAAAAGGCAGTCCAGTAAGTAAACTAAACCCTTTTTTACAGCAAGTTCCTTCTGTGATTGAATGTCAGAATAAATTTAAGAGAACAACATTTTAAAAATATTTGCTGTTTTGTTGAGTTGTTTAAAATATTTCATATCATTATTTGTACCAAATATTATTCAATAAGAAAGTGTAACTTTATTATCTGTGTACAGTGTAATGCAATGATAATCGTTTTAATCATCACAAAACACAGTGAAAACAAGTGATATTATCGTCTTATTCATAAATGCAAGTAATACATGCTATGCAGATAAGCAAAGACACTAGCAAAAAACATTCTGAGACGAACATTTACTAGTTCTTGACAGTCATTTGCATGGTATTTCTGGAAATTTAAATTTGCCATACAATTTGTGTCTCACAGTTCGTGTGTTATTCTCATTGCATATTACATCATTCGCTTACCCTCCTCCTACATGTAAATAAATATGTGCCATGTGTTTTGTTTTTTTTGTTTCCCCCTATTTCGTTTATTTGTGAAAAAGGAAACAAAAAACGATATCTTACAAATGACAGGTACCCCGAAGTTTGCCTATAACTTTTTTTTTTTTGGCTAACCTTACAGGGTGAAGGTGAAGGAAGCGGTGACCCAGTAAGTATTAAATCCAAGGTCAACTGTCATTAAAGATGACCATCTCATCTATTCTTATTACTTGTATTAATATTTTGTTTTCTGACTTGTTCGTTTCATGGCAACATTCCTGTTGAACTGACATATTTTTGTGCTCTTCCATTGAGGGCACCATTTCACTGTTTCAGCTATTACATTAACAGAATGAGAAATTCAATAAAAGTTTTGGTTATTATATTAACTAAATTGTCATAATCTCATTGAGTGTTCTTCATTTATCAATATGTAATAATTTATCGTATTTACTGTTCTTTGCTAATGTCATATTTCACTGTTCTGTGTGTTAAAGTGACGTTTCACTGTTACCTGGTAATGTTACATTTCTGTCACCTGCTAATGTTACATTTCACTGTTACCTGGTAATATTACATTTCACTGTTACCTGCTAATATTACATTTCACTGTCACCTGCTAATATTACATTTCACTGTTTTCTGTTCTAATGAACATTTCATTGTTTTCTGTGCTAGTGTTACATTTCATTGTTTTCTGTGCTAATGTTACATTTCACTGTTACCTGTTAATGTTACATTTCACTGTTACCTGGTAATATTACATTTCTGTCACCTGTTAATGTTACATTTCACTGTTACCTGGTAATGTTACATTTCACTGTTACCTGGTAATATTACATTTCTGTCACCTGTTAATGTTACATTTCACTGTTACCTGTTAATGTTACATTTCACTGTTACCTGCTAATTATTACATTTCATTGTTACCTGTTAATGTTACATTTCACTGTTACCTGGTAATATTACATTTCACTGTTACCTGCTAATATTACATTTCACTGTCACCTGCTAATATTACATTTCACTGTTTTCTGTTCTAATGAACATTTCATTGTTTTCTGTGCTAGTGTTACATTTCATTGTTTTCTGTGCTAATGTTACATTTCACTGTTACCTGTTAATGTTACATTTCACTGTTACCTGGTAATATTACATTTCTGTCACCTGTTAATGTTACATTTCACTGTTACCTGTTAATGTTACATTTCACTGTTACCTGGTAATATTACATTTCTGTCACCTGTTAATGTTACATTTCACTGTTACCTGTTAATGTTACATTTCACTGTTACCTGGTAATATTACATTTCTGTCACCTGTTAATATTACATTTCACTGTCACCTGCTAATTATTACATTTCACTGTTACCTGGTAATATTACATTTCACTGTTACCTGCTAATTATTACATTTCACTGTTACCTGCTAATTATTACATTTCACTGTTACCTGGTAATATTACATTTCACTGTTACCTGGTAATGTTACATTTCACTGTCACCTGCTAATTATTACATTTCACTGTTACCTGCTAATTATTACATTTCACTGCTACCTGCTAATGTTACATTTCACTGTTACCTGGTAATATTACATTTCACTGTTACCTGGTAATATTACATTTCACTGTTACCTGGTAATGTTACATTTCACTGTTACCTGTTAATGTTACATTTCACTGTTACCTGTTAATGTTACATTTCACTGTTACCTGCTAATTATTACATTTCACTGCTACCTGCTAATGTTACATTTCACTGTTACCTGGTAATATTACATTTCACTGTTACCTGGTAATATTACATTTCACTGTTACCTGGTAATGTTACATTTCACTGTTACCTGCTAATATTACATTTCACTGTTACCTGGTAATGTTACATTTCACTGTTACCTGCTAATTATTACATTTCACTGTTACCTGCTAATGTTACATTTCACTGTTACCTGGTAATATTACATTTCACTGTTACCTGGTAATGTTACATTTCACTGTCACCTGCTAATATTACATTTCACTGTTTTCTGTTCTAATGAACATTTCATTGTTTTCTGTGCTAGTGTTACATTTCATTGTTTTCTGTGCTAGTGTTACATTTCATTGTTTTCTGTGCTAATGTTACATTTCACTGTTACCTGTTAATGTTACATTTCACTGTTACCTGGTAATATTACATTTCTGTCACCTGTTAATGTTACATTTCACTGTTACCTGCTAATTATTACATTTCACTGTTACCTGCTAATATTACATTTCACTGTTACCTGCTAATTATTACATTTCACTGTTACCTGCTAATTATTACATTTCACTGTTACCTGCTAATATTACATTTCACTGTTACCTGCTAATATTACATTTCACTGTTACCTGCTAATTATTACATTTCACTGTTACCTGCTAATTATTACATTTCACTGTTACCTGCTAATTATTACATTTCACTGCTACCTGCTAATGTTACATTTCACTGCTACCTGCTAATATTACATTTCACTGTCACCTGGTAATGTTACATTTCACTGCTACCTGCTAATGTTACATTTCACTGCTACCTGGTAATATTACATTTCACTGCTACCTGCTAATGTTACATTTCACTGCTACCTGCTAATATTACATTTCACTGTTACCTGATAATGTTACATTTCACTGCTACCTGCTAATGTTACATTTCACTGCTACCTGCTAATGTTACATTTCACTGCTACCTGGTAATATTACATTTCACTGCTACCTGGTAATATTACATTTCACTGCTACCTGGTAATATTACATTTCACTGCTACCTG